ACCCCTGGAATGAACCCCACTCGATCATGATATATGATCCTTTTACTGTATTGTTGTATTTACTTTATTAGTAATATGTTTAGGATTTTTGCATCTATGTTGATTGGCCTGTAATTTTTTGTGTGTGCGTTGTCCGTGCTTGGTTTCGGTATCAAGCTAATATTGGCCTCAGAAAATGATATAGGAAGTATTCTCTTCTTCACCTTTTTGGAAGAGTTTGAGAAAGATTAAATACAAGGAAGGTATTAAATCTTCCTTGAATGTTTGGTAGTATTCACCAGTGTAGCTGTCTGATGGTCCTGGACTTTTGTTTTTTGGAAGGTTTTTGATTACTGTTTTGATTTCCTTACTAGTGATCAGTCTACTTAGGTTTTCCACTTTTTTTATGATTCAGACTAGGAAGATTATATGCCTCTAGAATTTGTCCATTTCTTCTAGGATATAGCCCTTCATAATACCCTGTAGAATCCTTTGTATTTCTGTGGTGTTCATTGTAACTTGTCCTCTTTCAAAACTGATTTTATTTTTTTGAGTAGTCTTTTCTCCTTAGTGAGTCTAGCCAAAAGTTTGTAAATTTTATCTTTTCAAAAAATAAGCTTTATTTCATTAAATTTTTAATATTCTTTTTGTTCTCTTTCATCTATTTCCACTCTGAGGTATTATTATTATTATTTTTATTTGACCCAATACTTATTCAGTAACCTATTGTTCAATCTCCACATATTTATAGTTTTTCTAGCTTTCTTCTTGTAGTTAATTTTCAGTTTTATACCATAGTGGTTGGAAAATATGCTTGGTATGATTTCAATCTTATTTATTGAGGCTAGTTTTGTGCCCCAACATATGGTCTGTCCTTGAGAATGTTCTGTGTGCATCTGTCATTTGGATGGAAAGTTCTGTAGGCATCAATTACATCCATTTAGTCTGATGTATTATTTAAGGTCAATATTTATTGACTTTCAGTCTGGACGAACTGTCCATTGCTGTGAGTAGGGTATCCTGGCACCTACTATAATTGTATTTATACTAGTTTCTCCCTTTAGGTCTGTTGGCTTTATATATTTTGGTGCTCCCAGGTTGAGTGCATATATATTAATACATGTTATTTCTTCTTGATGAATTGTGCCCCTTATTACTGTAAAACATACATCTTTGTCTTTCGTTACATTTTTATATTGAAATTTTTTTGTCCGATATTAAATACAGATACATTCTCTTCTCTTGATGCCATTTACTTGGAGTATCATCTTCCATTCCTTTACTTTGAGCCTAGGTTTATATTTGGAGCTGAGATGAGTCTCCTGCAGGAAACACATAGTTGAATCTTGTTTTTTAATCCTTCCCACTACTCTGTGCTTTTTTACTGGTACATTCAGTCCATTTACATTTATGGTGATTATTGCTATATGAGGACTTACTACAGCATTTTATCTTTTGTTTTCTGGTTGAGCTGTAGCCCCACTGTTTCTTTTCCCTTGAGATGTTTGCTATTTTAGTTTGGCAGTTTTCTATAATTTTTTTTCCATTTCTTTTATGTTTTCTGTCTCAGCTCTGGATTTTTGTTCTGTGGTTACCATTAGACTTGTGTAGAATAGCTCATACATACAATCACCCTTTTTCTTCTGATTACCTCTTTATTTAACTGTACATGTTCAGTTCCTTTTCCCCTTTTATGATTTTTCTCACAAATTATGTTTATGTTATGCATTCATTACCCAACTGTAGTATATTTTTAATGCTTACATTTTTTATCTTTAATCTTTATATTTGTTTAATATCCTGTTCTGAAATAGAGCTGCAATTTCCTGCTCTATTAGTCTTCTTACTCAAAGTTTTGTCTACTTTTATCTTTTTTTCCAGTAGAAGCTGCTTTCAACATTTCTTCTAATGCAGATCTCATAGCAGTAAATTATTTTTCTCTGGAAAAGCCTTTCATTCTCCACCATATCTAAAGGGAAACTTTGCTGGATATATGATCCTTGGTTCTTCTCTTTCAATCTATTGAATATTTTTTCTACTCTCTCCTGGCTTTTAATGTTTCTATTGAAAAATCTGATTACAATCTAATGGGGTTTCCTTTGTAGGTTACAGTCTCTTTTTTCCTGGTGGCCTTGAGAATTCTTTCTTTGGCATTAATTTTTGACAGTTTGAATAAAATGTGTCTTAGATAAGGTCTTTTAACATTGATACTATTAGGTGTTCTGTTAGCTTCCTCTATTCTAAAGACCACTTCTTTTCATAGGCTTGGGAAGTTCTCATCAACTACTTCTTTGAGTAGGCTCTCTGCTCCCTTTTCCTACTCTTCTCCATCTGGTACACCAGTAGGCTTATGTTGCACTTTCTAATGGAGTCAAATATTACTCATTAAGTATTTTTCTTGTTTAAAAAACTCTTTAATTTTTTTCCCTTTAGTCATTTCTAGGTTTCTATCTTCAAGCTTATTCATTCTCTCCCATCTGGTCAGCTCTGTTTCCAATGCTAACACATTCCTCATCTCATTTACTGAGTTCTTCAGCTCCAGAATTTGTTTGGTTCTTTTTTATAGTTTCAGTCTCTTTGGTAAAGTACTCCTTTGTTCATTAATTTTCTTCTTGAGCTTCATTAAACTTCTTTTCTGAATTCTCTTGTATCTCATTGAGCGTCTTCATAATTGCAGTATTAAATACTCTTGTCTTTAAAGTCATGGTCTTCCACGACTTTGAGTTCGCTTTCTGGAGACTTCATTTTCCTTCTGTGCTCTCATATTACCTTGTTAGTTTGTGGTATTTGATGGATTGTTTTTGTGCCTGCACATTTGCGGTAGTGAGCTCTTGTTTATATACTGTTTTGCTGTCAACAACAGGTTCATAGGCAGGACACACTTTTGTTTTCCAGTAGATTGTGATAGAGAAGTTTTTGCTCTCTTTTATATGCAGTAAATGTGCCTCTGAGAATGCAGTGGAGTAGCACTCCTTTGGTTAAGGAAAATGCTGCATGCCCGTTGGGGTGGTGAGTATCCCAGCAGTTACTGGTTCACCTCAGTTACAGGGCAGTATCACTGGTGCGGCATGTTGTGAGTGGCAGAAAACCAGTTTTGCAAGCACCCAGCACTATCTTTTTTTTACTGATGGTCCCTGGCCTTGCTCTATTTTTGGAGGTGTCCCCATCACCACTACTAGGCTATGCCAGGATGGGTGGAGCAGGGAAGGGGGCAAGTTCACTATTTCGTAGCCCCACTGTACAGTATATAAGGCATCTCAGTTTTCTCTATCTCTGTAAGTTTGAATGGGGCAAGGGAGGCAAGTTGCAATTTTGCAGCTCTCCCCACTTTCCAGCAATGGCTTTTGGAACCTCTCAATGCCCAGGGGTTGTCAGCTTTCTTTACTGAGATGGATGGAGCTAGAGAGGCAAGTTCACAATCCACAGCTCTAGCACATGTCCAGTAATGACAGTTGGCAGTGCTGTGTTGTTTTAAGCTTCCCAGCCACCTCTACCAGGGTCTGCTGCTATGGGGAGAGGGGCGGAAGATGCTTTTCCTCGGGGACTACTGCTTCTGCCTATCTTACAATCCAGGCCATAGTGTGAGGGCTGTAGCCTGACTCTTCCACCTGACTACTGCACTCAATGGAGCCTCAGTGAGCACCGAACTGCACTTGCGGCAGCCATCCCTGTCCTTACCTTCCCGTCCCCAGCCTGCCTCCCGTACTCATTTCAATCTGCCCACCTTCAGATGTTCCAATTTGTGATTATTCAGGTGTGTTTGTGTTGAGCAGGGGATCCTTTGTTGAGTTATAGTTGTCTACATGTAAATTTAAGGGGAAAAAGAAAGTGGTCTTCTCACTCCTCTGTGATGCGGATGTCTGGCATGAACCTTTATCTTTTAGAAGTCAGTATATGAATTCTTCATAGAGGTGCCTTGAGCTTGTTTGAAATCTGCCTTGATAAGCCACCCTAAGGTAGGCAGATCCTTTCCAGGAATGGATGACAAGATTCCTAGTGGAGAATCAGTTGCCTTTGAGATGAAGTAGGGATGAAGAAACAGGAAGCTTACCACAGAGTAAAAACTCAGAAGTTGGTACAAGTCATTGAGACACTTGATCATGAAAATGGAAGTTTGAGGCAATCTTATCTAGATCCCCAGGGTAAAGGAAGTTCCCACTGGCATCCAAGATAACTACCTTTCCATGTTTTTCTTGACAGCACTCAGCACCATGAGTCAGGTACCAAAGCTGTTCACTCATACGGTAGTGGTAGGCATTCATTAAAAGTTCATCGAACTAAGGCACAGTCACCCCAAAAATGCCCAGTCAGCATTTTACTTGATGTCACATATGATCTAAATGTTCTGCCAGTGTCTTGAGTATGTACTAGAAACTTTAAATAGACATTCATTTTAAAAGCTTAGATTTTGATGTCTATCAGCTTCAAAGCTGGAAAAAAATAATATGTCAAGATATGTAAATTAAACTTTGTTCTAGGAAAAATGAGATTACAAACTGCTCTAAGAGAACAGTGCCACTCATTTTTATTGATAAACATAGTGGGCAATGTCAAGATTCAGGTCTGGGGCTGTCCACCTATGCCATTCAATGTTGGGGCTAATGCTAAGTGGAGGAAGCCTTATTCCACGATCTTACTAGTGATTTCCAACAATTATGTGTGATCTCTGATTTGTCCTGGTTATATGTGTATATTATATATTCTCCCATTAACATAATATTCCTCAACACAGAGGCTATTTTTCATTACTTTAGTATTTCCCCTTTAGTAAATTTCCTTTTGATGATTTTTAAATACTTGAATTTAGTTTGTCATAAAATCTTCATTTGTTCTTTTAATTCATACCAATCAAAATTAAACTTTAAAATATTGTAAAATATCATTCCAAAATTTTCACTACATTATAATAGAATGGTGTGCACTGAATCTCTGAATATTAAATCCCTTATAAGCATATTTAAAAACATTATAATGGTGACTATTAGAAATCTACTCAAGTTAGGAAAAACATGAGAAAATACTGTGAGATTAAATAATTTATTACCATTGCTAAGATGAACACATATACTTGATACTTAATTTTATGCAGAACTTTAAAAAAATAGTTTTAATACAGTATCAAAATTTACACAAGTATTTTGTCAAAAGACCAGTATTTCTTGTATTAGCTGCTGCAGGCTCTACTGCAGGCACAAAAACTTACTTTAAATGTCTTCAGAGTGTAGGAATACAACAATTTAAGGATGAAAGCTTTTCTAAAAGAGAAGGTATAAATACAGCAAGCAATATTCTTTTACAGAGTAGTAGTGTTTTAAAAATATAACATTTTAAAATAAAGACTTAAATGGTAACCCAATTATGATAATTAGAGAGATTATTCTTTAGTAAATTAACTCATAAATATTTTTAGAAAGCAGAGGGCTGACTTTTCATCACAGTAACCTTTTAAGAAGTGTAATAAAATTCCTTCACAAATGGCAATTAATACATTGTGTAATGAGCCATTTAAAAACAACAGAGTAACTGCAATGAATCAAATCTGAGTAATTTAGAAGAAAACTGGAAATTGTTGCATTCCTACTTTTATAATTTTAAACTACAGTAAAAATTTAGCATTCTGTCACAAGCCTCTTGCACATTCATACAAGAAACTATCATTGCATTTGAATAAACACAAATACCTATCATAGCATTTCCAGTACACACAGTCTAATATTATATATATATACCAAAAATAAGAAACTAAGCAAAGCTAGCACACCTCTTTTTCAAACCTCAAGCAATCTGAACAAAGCTTTTAGCCTTAATAATGAATGACATGCGTCAGTTTCATAAAACATTAGATAGCTGCTGTAGACAAAGCCTTTTTCATAAATGCAGTGCAGTATTTTAAAGTTCACATGAAGTTTATTAAATATAACAGCATGTCTAGAAACTAAATTGTAGAAATTGACATCTCACTGCCAAAAACACTTAGAAAAATTGTTCGCTTGTTCTTTAATTGAAGTTAATATTAACATCAATGGATACACTGAATGAAGATGGAGGTTGATATGTCCCCACAATGTGTCTTCATGAACAGTAGTACATCAAGATTAAAAGATATATTTTGATCTTTGAAATAAACAGTACTCCCTGGTAAACACTCTACATAATGATGCTACCAGCTGGTAAGGAGAATTTCTGTGGTATTTTAGCACCTCAAAAGTCAAAACAAAATCCCAGAAACCTAATCTTATTATCTTGTATCCAAATTATGAATCAGGAAATAGTATTTTGTTGACTAAAATATACGAAATAGGTTCTCAACTCTCAAACTTGGGAAGCTGGAAGACATCCCTTCTTCAGTACAACATGGTAGAAAACTCCCCCCCATTAAATGTAATGAGCCAACCATCAAAATCACTGAGGCTCTACTGGGCTCTTCAAATCATGCATGTTTCCTAATTATAATCTTAGATCTGAGGAGTCAAAACATTTTAGTTCTAATGAAAATATTGCTACCAAAATGATTTTCAAAGCTACCTTGTTTGAAATTGAGGGTTGTGAACATCAAAGCGAGAGACATAAAATACAGCTTCAGTTATACTAAAAGTTTTAGAGGGAAAATATGTGCAATGTACAATCACTCCATGAGTTCAGGTTTGTGGGAATCCACTCTTGTATCTCTCTGGCAGTGGTGATCTCATGTTTGAAAGTGTATTTCTCACATTGGTCCTTTGTACTGGTTTCCAGACAAATGCTGCCTAATTCCAGGACACGAACCTGCAGCATCTCCAAGTTTCCGCCACACAACCTTAAAACAAAAAAAAAGAAGAAAGGCATCTTAATTGTCCTCTTCCACAAAGAGATGTTTTGTAAAGAGGAAATCTATGAGGGGCAAAGAGGAATGTAAAGACGAGACAAAATAGCCACATGAATGAGCTCAAGCACAAAATAAAATACAAGCTTCTAAATCACAGGAACTGCTCAGAAGATGGGATTACTAGGCTTTGATAGCAATCAGGGCCAAAAGTAATGATATGCCAACTTATCCTGGTTATATGAGTGACAGTCAACTAACTCTAGCTGAACACTATACCCTTGGAGAACTCTTAAACAGTAATTCCCACTGTCAGATTGACTGCACTGGTGGAGGTGAGACACAGATACCTGTATTCTTAAAAAGCTCCCAATGTAATTCTGATAGGTAGCCAGAATTAAGACCCTCTAAATCAGCCTGGTTCCTATATTATACATCTACAACAAGGGATATCAAAGTGTTTAATCCACTAAGAGAATAGGCTTTGATCTTGAGCTGTTTAAGTCCCAAGCTGATACTTTAGGGCCACTAGTAAATTTCCCTGGTTTTCCCCTTCAGAGTAGGGGCCTAAGTCATAAGTTGTAGCTACCAAACAGTATGACCTCAGATTACCAAAATAGAAAACATCTAAATTCAGGAATTAGATAAGAATTCGAGAATCACTGAAATAGGTACAATTATAATGCATTAAAAATTGGGCCAGATTAGAGGGACAACAGCAAAGGTGAGATTAAGAATAATGTAAGTATAAAGTAAAACTGAATTCAATGATATACCAACATTGAAAAGCACACCTGCATGTGCACACACAGTAAGTCATAAACCTCCTACAGTGTTTCACTATAAGGGTTATGTTCAGATTAATTCCACAAAAATTTACATGGCTCTAACATGAACACAAAACCAGTTGGTTCATTAATTATTCATAGACTGTTTCTTGTTTTGTTTTTTTCCTTGAAAGAGAGTAGATACTCCCTGGAAACCCAATAAGAATATCGGTTCTCTCTACCTTCATTTATAAGTCAATGTAACTATTAGTCTCTCTGTTTTAGCAGACACTACTACCTATCATGGTTGAAGGGAACTGTACTTAATGGTCCTTAACTCTGGAAAGGAATAACATAGCACTGACTGGCTCAAGAGTGTCATTTTTTGATAAACTGAACTGTGAAGAGGTACAAACACCGAATCGGGAAGCCAAGGGTTCCGAGGGACTTTCCCTTTCTAGCCCTTAAATTGTGTATACAGTTACATCTACGCAGAATGCTTTAAATTTCTGGTTTAGAAGCAGAGGATAGTCTCAGAGACCTCATGGGATCAGCTCAAAAGTACTCAGAGGTGGCAGTGGGCCTTACACCTGAAAATACTATGTGGTGAAAGGAAACTCAGAAGGTTGAACTCTGAAATAAGGTAACAATGCTCAGGTGGACACAGAGCAGTGGGGAAAAAAGAGCAGAGCAGGTGGTTGTGATTGTGGCCCAGATGACTAGTCAAGTATTTCAACTGTTCTCAGGGAATTTATTAGAGTCAGACAGACAAACCTAAGATATAACCATTACTACAAAAAGATTCTGTTTCTTAGAGGGCAGTATAATTATTTCTGTCGCAGTTTGGGAAGAGAAAGCACGTCATGCTTACTAATTAACATGATGATGCTATGAATAATGGTCTTTTCATTGTATAGATGTGAACATTTATCTTCAGAATTAATACCAGAAACTGAGGCAAAACTTCTGTTAAGTTCTGAGTCTTATAACTGATGTCACATTATAAGAAAGCTTTATATTTCTGTGACATTATTTTAAAAGCACATAGTGCCTCTAAGATTTCACAATCTTAGCTAGTTTCTAAGAAATTACTTACCTATGAAAATGTCTTGAAAATATTTGTCTTTATTCTCCAGTATTCATTATGTTTTCAGTGTTTGTAAAATTTATGATGGTGACAAAAATATTTTAGATCAACATTTTTCTCTTGGCTCGTAGTTTCCAAACATTTTAAGAGTGCTAAGTATCAGACTTGGGCTGGCTTGTATTTTTTTCTTAAATTTTGGGGATCAAAGACAAAAGTGGACAATTAGAAAAAGGGGTCCTAGAGAACTTTTAAAGGTAGACAAGCTTTTGGTTTCATGAAAATATACAGGGAAAAACAATTCCAGTCCATGTGGCCTTTTGGAAATACAGGAAAACAAAGATCAAGATCCAATCCATTAGTAGGTCTCTTCCGTGATTAAGAAACAAATATTCTATGTCTAGAAATCTTTCATCTAAAAAGGCAAGAAACAATCCTGGCATTTGTTTATAGAAATCTAGGGTTAAACACAATGGAGAAGGTCTCCACTGTAGTATCTATTTTCTTTCCTCAAGAATGTAAAGCAATGGAAGTCCCCAGATTTACCACACTTGAGAAAGTGAAGAGAGCTAGTCCTTAGGAGATCAAGCATATTGCTAACTATGCTGTTTATTAGAAAACAATTTGAACAAGTAATTTAATTAATTTCTGGATGATAGTTTCTTCAAACACAGCACTCATGATCTGGGGTAAAACTCAGACATCTGATTATAAGTACTCTTTGGAGAACTGCTGGGAGATGACCTCTATGGCCCCTTCTAATACCGAACTTTCTCCCTTGTCAAGATGAGAAGTAACAGGCATTCCTAGGTGTGTGGCTCAAATTTTTAAGTTGATCTGAGGGAAATATTCAAATTGAAAACCTTAAGGACAGGCTGAAAAGCTATAGAAAATGAACAGTTATTCATTTAGGAACTTATGCCCTCTAAAACAATCTTTTGAAAACAGACAAAAACATACGCAGGAAAGAAAAAATAACTTGGAAAGGGTTGCAAAAGAAAAACAACCACAACACAAGCAAGCAGGAGACTAAAACTCTTTTCCCAGCAAATATAAAATGTCCACAAGATGTATCAACCTCTTTGAAGTTTTCCTGGAAACTAGTAAATGTTAGATAGTAAGTGTCTGAGAATATCTGGTCCTAGTAGCCTAAAGCTTAAAGGCATGTCTAAGCAATTTTGATATCTTAATGCACAAAGAATATGAGAATAAAAATAAAACACAAAGCCAATTAAAACCAGTGCTTAATATGATCTGCCATGCTTTTTTGCTTTTAACGAATGTGTTCTACAATATTCTATTTAGCTTTTTAATAAGCTTCACCATTATATTCTTGATTAAATGATACATCCATGCATCTTGCCCAAAAAATTAAAATTTAGCCAGGGATTAATAAAATCGAAGCCACATTAATGATTACATAGAATATGCATCGTGAAAATAACGTCAAATTTTTTACTGCATTTCTGACTTCATAGATTTTTGTGTTTCTAAGTTCATATCTATCTACTCTTACTATTTTCTGAGCAATGTCAACCAATGAAAGGTAAAGATACTACTTTGCATGATATGAAGCACACAGATGCATGAATAAGCAAGCATATATTACTTATCAAGATGATTTTTTTCCCCAAGTACAGTTAAAAATAAATCTGAAGTCTGTTTTCTTTATTGCAGGTTTTTAAACACTGACCTTTAAGGAATGTCTTAAAAAAAAAAAAAGAAATCCATTTATTTTATCAAAACTAATAACATTTTAGACAATTACTTAGAAACTTTCATAATTCATTCTGAAATACAAAATTGTCTAAATATTCCTTACCTGAATATTTTATAACATGGTTATTGTCTTAATAAAATGCAACAAAATGTATTAAAGAACAACAGGAACTGGTTTTATTTTCAAATATAGAAAGGCATTTGACCAGCATTTTAAAAAGTAGGTATTCATAAAGCAATAACTAAGCTACGATGAGGCTTTCAACACAGAACACACAACAAAGCACATTAAACTTACATTGCACATTTCTCTGACTATAGCTTTTTCTGTCTCACTAAGGTCATGTTCATACTCTTTACCCTGCTGACGATCTATAGTTTCCTGAACATCCAAGACCTGGATTTGTTGAAAAAGAAAAGCAAATTTCACATGGAAAAAAAAAAAACTTGTTAGTTTTGAGTAAAACCACCAAGGACCTCTGCTTAGTAAAACCTCTAGTTTTCTCCATGTCTGCATATCAGAATGGATACGTATATGGCAAATTCTTTTAAAATAGTTGATTGTTCTAAAACCTAGCTGGAATCAATTCCACTTGATTTTCAAATGGCCAGTAAAAGCAATCTATTGCATCACTAAGTCAGTTGAATTCATTAATTAGCTGTATTTAGTTAACTGAGTTATTAAGATAACCTGTGTCAGGAATTTGGAGACTGTCAGTAATTCTTGCTCCATTTTAAAGATGAGCAGTATAATTGAGTCCAAACTGTCCAAATGATATGTAGACATGGCCTATAGAAAAGATGACTAAAATAGATGATAGTGACAGGTGAAACTGATCAGAACCCAGGCATATGTACATAAGAACTTTTGTTAACATTACTGACCTCACGGTTCTCGCTTGGACAGTCTCAGTGGCTAGGAAAGGAATATGGAGACAGCTCTTTGATAGTAGCAATGAGAAATACAGACTCCTTATAGTAAAAATATTAGAGCAGAGTGGGGATGAGATGCTTTTAAACAATTTTTAGATTCCATTCTCTAAATTACCACTAAATAGACTGAAAATAATATTCCTTTAAAAATGTAAAGGTTTCATGTCAATACTTTGGCTTTGAGTGTTGTTTGTTATTTTTCTCTATATCAGCTTATAAACCAAAGCATTAATGTAGCATAAAAAATATATATGCTTTTCCTAAAAGCTCCTGTAGAATCTACCCTGAATTGTGACATTGCTAAACTCCTTGTCACCTGAGAATTGGCACCAATGAACAGTTGAGCCAAAATAAATGACTTAAGCATGAAGTGGGACCTTCGTGTCAAGTTCATATAGATAATGAGACTACATGGATATTTATTAGAGTTCAATCTGTAATAAATACTCTGATTCACAAACTAATCTCTGCTTAACTCAAAACTTCTAGCCATTGTTACTATGTATATACTACTGTAATGTGGCTATGACAGCAGTGAATGAAACCCTCACCCTGTTATTCAAATTAAACTCAGTTCACATTTTTTTATAGAGGAAATCGTTGACTATGCTCAGTGAATATTCATAACTTAAAGGACTCTTGGAACAAGCTCATTTAACTGCAAATTTGATTTATAATGCACCTCAGAGAAGTGTACTTCAAATCAGTTAATTTCTACTAAATGAAATGAAGCTACAATTAATAGATATCATGAATTTTAAAGCAAGAAAAATGTAGTATTATTATAAGTGAGCTAATTTTTCACATTGATTTATAACACTTCCCCCAACCATGACCACAGAGTTTAATTAAATCCTAGAGATTCTTTTGAAATCTATCAGAAGATGAGAAACTGAGCCATTGTTCTAATTATTCCTTTCATAATAGAAAAATCTTATGACATAAATCAGCTCTAGATCAGTGAGTTTTAAAAACAAAACATGTTGAGTGGCTACATTTCTTTTTTTACATTGAGCTATTAAGATGAATTTCCCATAGGCTATGTTCGCACGTATTCTGTTTCAGACACAGTTAACTCATGGAAGCAAACACATTCTGTATTCAAGAGCCTCCATTTATCCAATAAAGATCCTTTGGTTGCTCAGTATTACCCATCTGCCAAGTGAGGATACTTGTGTGTTCTGATTATAACATAATATCTTCCTCTCGAGATAAATTTTATTTGAAAATTAGAGAATGAATTCAGAGAAAATTGAAGAGCTCTTCCTTGCCCTCCCTTCCCTTTTAGGCCATACTAACACAGCTGCATTGAGACATTTGGGCCAGATTGCAATGCGACCCACTATGCTATACATCTCAATCAAACTGCACTTGTCATTTAATAAGGCGATAGGCCGAATCAAGCTTTCAGTTTGAAAAGTAGGGCAAGGTGTTTCTGTGGGAATATGTGCAGACACTAATAGTACAGGATTGAAGCCACTCTCTTGGTTTTCATTTTAAAATGCCTTTCAGATAGCTAGGGCCCAGTTTATGCTAACATAACAGCACATTTCACATGGTGTTAATGTTAAAAGCAGCATTCAAATGCTGTTGCAGAGAGCAAGATGTTCATCAGTGGATAAACCAACACCCACCAGTTGCGGGGCAACGCCCTCATTCTGCTCTGCCTTTCCATGAATTCCTCTCAGTGGCTCACTTTGTGAGTTATCCCAACCAAGAAATGCCAAGTACACTGACACTGGCTGCCAGCATGGTCCTGCTACCTTCCTTCACCAAACAGTTTATGCTTAAAAGAAGCGAACTCATTTTATCTAAGTTACAACAAAATATAATGAGAGCGCTAAATCTTCTACTAAAACAAAGTCATCCCCAAATCCAATATTTTGAAGTCCTCATCTACTTATTTGCTTAAATTTGCTTAAAAGCCCACTCCAAAAGAATGCCTCTCAGGCTGTTGATAAATCATTCTGAAACCAAAACAATTTTAGAAAAGTTGTGAAACTCATGCGGTAAGTGCAGGACTGAAGCACTCTGCATACTTTTTGGCTCAAAGTTTCATCAAGGCTACATGTTGGGAAGTATAGATAATATGAAGGACACGTTTCATACTTGGAAACTGATAAAACATCAGTGAACTGTCTCAGTTTTAAGGTGATTACGGTACTTATTAATTTTACTTAAAAAAAATTAAATGATAAAATTCAGCCAAGTCTTTTTTCGAAGTCATTGCAGAATCTGAAGTAAAAGCCAAAAATAAAATAGCTTTATGAACAAGACCATATCTCTATTTTCTAATACTCTGTAAAGGAGCATTAACTGGAGAGTTTGAATTACCTAATTTCAATTTAGTGGAGGACAGAGTAGGTCTTTATTTCAATAATTTCTTTTAGTTAAGCTGTACAATGTATACTTCAAATGCCTAAAGCAAGAAAAATGTGGTATCCTTCCTTACTTTGGCCAACTATTAATTCCCTGTATTTGAAGACATCCATGCTACCAACATTGCACATAAAATACCTACAATATTTTACACATATGAATATACATGCACATCAGACTTCAATTTCAATGCAGAAAATGAATCACAGTACTCAAAACAAAATGATAACACTAGAGATTCAACCATAAGTACTCAAACCCATTGTTTAGAAAATTAAAATTAAACTTTAAAAATTAAGATAAGTTACACCATCAGGGGTCAAAAAATAAAGTAGCTATGGTTAAAACAAGACTGAGGACTACCAGACTACAGCAAACAAATCACAACACAACTGAATTTCTGGATAAATGGTCGTACACGGTTGGTTACCTTAAGAGAATGTACCACGGGTTCAGGCTGCTGAGAAGGTGTGGTGTGTCCACTGAAGCTAGCTGGAGAGCTGGGTGAACTGTTATTCCCATCAGCCCCTGATGACAACCTAAAAGAACCCTTAGTAGAAAATCAACAACTTTGTTATTAAAACAAAAGTCGTTTATAACTGCATAGTTGTCATTCAATATTCACTTTCACCGCCAAATGAGAATTAGCCATTTTGTCAAACTTTTTCAAGACTGTCCTATGATACTATCAACCTGTTAATTGGAATACACCTGCTGCTTGACCAGCAAGAAAAGTTAGAAAAGAGTCATCTCTGTGCATGTCTAGATAGCACTTCTGATTTACCAAAGAGAACAATGCTCCCTAAGGAATGGCAATTAAGAACATTTCAAGAATGATTTTTGAAACTTAGATACTCATGAGTAGAGAATTTGTGAGTTACTCCAGAGCTGAGTTAAACATGCTCATTCAGCAAGACAAATGCCAAAATCCATATGTCTCAGAAAATGCAGACACAGCGCATTCTTGCACTGGCGAAACTGTCATATAAAACACTTCTTTGGGGGGAAGAGAGAGAGAGGACCATATTCCAAAGAGATTTAACCAAATTCAGTATTTTGTGGTCATTTTTAAAATATAAAATAGATCAGAAATTACATATTTGTAGTTTAGTGATTCTTTGACTTAATTGCTGAGAAATTAGAACCTGGAATGATTAAATAGACCTTTGAGAGTCACAGTCACCTATCCAGGAACTGGGAAAAAATAACTACTTTTTCGAGGGATTGCTTGGAGAAAGACTAACGGATCAAGAAAGGAGAGCAGCAGTTATCTACCCTCCTAGAAAAAGCAGTCTACTGGGAGTTTTCCAAACTTGTTTTTATGGAGATCATTACACTCAGAGGGCCTGAGAGATTTTAATTTCTGTACAACAAACCTACAGACTTTTTTCATGCCTAATAGATTAATAACTGCACCATTTATCTTGATCCTGTGAATCTAATCCCCTGAGGAGGAGACACTGGAGTATCGTCTGTGGATTCATAAAAGGGAGAAACAACTATGGTTTGGGACATTTATTTTCCAATATGTATCGGAGAGCTTCTATGTTGTGCATTTTAGGGATGGGAAGGATAAGGCAAATGCAGCAACAGTTTTAGGTACGGGTCTTATGCAAACCACACTTTTTTTAGAGAAATTGACAATTCCCATTGATTTTTACAAAAATTATTATTTATGCAATTTGGAATATTTTCTCCTTTCTCTTGTCGCTGTTACTTCTTATGTCCTTGAAGGCTATCCCTGCTACCTCACAAGGCAACTGAGGCCATGTTCTTTTCCTTGTTCAAAGAGTTATGGAAACAAATCAGGTTTTCTCCGCCTTCAAGCAAACAAGGAGAAGCAGCCGTAGAATGACATTTAAGTGACCTCTATAGCTTCTGTCCCTCATTGCTACTAATGATTAAATTAATAGCAGGTGAGGACAAATGATTATAATAGCCCCAACCTCTTCTGGAAAAAAAATTTAGATCTGTTTTCCTGTATCTGTAATTCAGAGCAAATCAAACATAATAAATAGTACCTGATACAAATAAAAGGGAAACTATTTGAAGTTTAAAGATGGTTAATGGGCACACCTGCCCTCCAACCCACCACCAAATTTTGGACACCCTTTTCTTCTGTAGAGAGCAACTGTTTCCAGCGTGAAGGCATTATGAGGAAGCTCCCCTTCCCTGCACAGCCCTGGCCCTTTCCTCTCCTCTTTCCCCATTGTCACCACCCATGTGAACTCCTGTGAAAAGGCTTCTCAGGTTACGCAGAGTTCACTTCAAACCTCTCATGTAGGACCAAGCACTGTGGTGCAGTCTTTCCCCTAACTGGTGATCTAACTGTCCCCCTGGGCCACCGGCCTTCCAATTCTCTTAAGATCAAACCCTTTTCTGCCCGGCCCTTTTCTTTCAAAGGTTCCCTTCCCAGACCTGGCAAAATGGTAGGCATATCAATCCTAGCATCTTTTCTTTTGGGCATGGAGCTGCTGTCTTTCAGGACATTTGGGTTTAAGAGAATTTCTAAAAGCAATGATAAGTAGCTTCCCTAAACCAAATTCTCTGGACAAATTAGCATTGTTGAAACTTAACGGGAGTCCTGTTCTACCCTTATCTGTTCAGAAAACAACAGTCATTTTTTTATTAAAGAGTTTCCTTAATATAATAAAGGCTACAAGAGGAATTACACTGTCGAGGAAAACTTATCATTTAGGGATTTAAATTGTACTTCAAATTCACTTTATGAGCCATGGACTAGTAATCGCCAAAACAATCAAGATTTATGTTTTATGTGGTTTCCGTGAAGCCACAAAGGTAACCAAATGCCTGGCAAAGTCGTACATCAACAGCGGCTAGACAGTTTTCTAGGTTACAATAAAATCAAGTACCTCATTCTATCATATCTCCTTTAGTTACTATAAAAGAAAAGGTTAGAATTCTATGTGTTCTGTAGAATCAGACCAATATTTAGAGAATTATCTAGGTTCAATCAGTACATACTCTCAGTTGACTAGTACGTTTTTACTGAAATAGTTTTAAAACTGTGCTACTGAGTGAAATACCAACATAACAAACGAACGATTTTAAACACTCTCTTGGAGTTCATTTAAATTATAACTTGGCTGGCTCAGGAGACAGGTATTTAAAAAGAGGAAAATCTTAATAAAATTGGAAATCTTAATAAACTTCGGGGTGGCTTGTTCTCAAGCTACACATGATCATAGAGTAAGTACACCACCAGCTCTTGGGTCAGCGGTCAGTTTGAAAGGGCAAGGAATACTTTTCTGGGACTGTCTAGAGCCACGTGGTGGTGTCTTAACAATTCATTTTCATGGCCACTGGCCTTTTAAACTCCTTTTCATGAAAAGTGCAGGGTACCTTTGTTCTTCTCCAGCGTTTGGGGTTATTCAACTTTCACCCTCAGGTTCAGGAAAAAAACACTGAAGATGACTGTTTAGGAGATGACTGTGCTCCCAACTCCCCTCCAGAGACTTAGACATACAGCAGCTTTCACGTGTACAGACTTGCTCTCCACCCCCCGGTGTAACTTTTCCTCCAGCAACAGAAGCCATCTGGTTATGCACAAGCAAAGGCAGCAGCTGACTCATCTTCACTCACCGGGAGAGTGGGCAGGCATCGTCCTATTCCTCGGCACCCTTGCCACCACTGCAAGACCCGCCGGGCTCTGGGCCCCCAGCCTTTCTCCATATTTGAGCTGTTTCTAGTTGGAGGTTGCCTTCTATTCTGGGTGGCCTTATATTTGGAACAATATAGTACAATCACTCAGAAAAATACTGTTTCCCAAGTCTCAAGAAAGCAGATAGAACAAGAAGCTTAATGAAATGAACCACAATGACCACAATGGCAAGCTGTAGCATGCACCTGTAACTAGGGAGAAAATTAAAATAAAAACAAACTGAAGTCCTGTCTATTAGAGCTAATATTGATTTTTAAAAAAAAAATTTTGGCAAAGGTATAACTAATTCTCAAGCTATCAAAAAGTAGTAGATGATAATGCTAAAATTACAGGAAAAAAATTAAGCTATTTAGACAACTTTATTTTGTGAGTTTTACTTATGAGAAATAGAGAATTACCATAAATCTTCCTGGTATTTAAAACTGTATAACTTCAGAATTAACAGAAATTATTTGAAATGCATTTGGGAGCACTTTGTCCTTTTGTTAAGAAGTACAAATTGGGTCAATATATTCAGTAATACTTAGGAAAACTGAGGTGCATCAAATTCTCAGCAAAATTTCAGCATATTGAAAAAATAGGTATGAATTAAGAGGTAACTATTGCATTACAATAACTATTTTAATGGGACATATACGTAGTTGTCAAAATTCCTATCAAATTAATTCCCAAATTTCTGTAGAACTAAAGATATCATATAACTTAACAAAAAAAAAACACAAAAAAGTTCCCTAAATTTCAATTTTTCCATGAAGCAAAATGAACTTATTTGAACATAATTCACTGTCCCTGCCCACTTTCACCAAGACCTTTAACTAAGAATGCTGTGTCTTAAGGAATAACGGAAATTTTTAAAATATGAAAAATTCACAAAATATTCACAAAATCAGTGTCTAAGTATTTAAATTTTGGAGACAAAAATTGAGAACATAATTTTTTAGTTCTCAGTGACCCATATGCCTAAAAGTATGTGCTTTATTGTGAATAGTACTGGTCTAATTTTCACTCCCCTCAAATTTTTGGAGGCTGGACAATAAAGAAAATGTACCATGGTCTTAAGTAAAAATGAAGAGCATGATGATCAGCAGTTGCTACTCACAAAACTCTTTTTTCTGAATCTATGCAGTCAGTAGCAGTTACCTGTTAAGTCACAAATATTCTTCACATGTAACAGAAAATTCTTTGCACTTGGACCATAATGATCATTTCATCATAGCAGCACTGATCTGAACACTGCTTTTTTAGTAATCATTTCATATGTCGGTGTCTAATTTATTTCCACCATCAAAAGGATTATAACCAGTAATTTATAATAAAATTTACCTCCCACCCCAATCTGCATAGTTCTATTTCTGAGACGATCATTACGGGGTAATGAAATTTCTTTACAAATGAGTTCTAACTTCAGGACTAGGCTCTCTCCAGGACTTACACATCTCTCAGATCTTATGCTTTTCGGATTCAATGACTGAGTAAAACATAAGAATTCCTACTGTCATTCTTTAAAGTATAGTGAGATTAAATCCCAGTGCCTCTCCATTGTAACAAAGTACATTATCACAACTGTGATGTCGGAAAGCACTTTGTATAGTCATTTAGAAGATGGCTGGAAAGAGGAGCCGTTTGGTTAGTATGCAGACAATGTACACTCTATTTTACCACTTTCAGAAAGTAAATACAATATGAAATAATAAATATGCTTTCCAGGATCTTGTAAAAGATTCTTTTAAAACATTAATTATAGATCATATAGTAGTATTAATCTCACAAGAGTGGCAATATACGTGGGCCAGGTTTTTGTGGAAGAATGAACTCTTGATGATATAACCATTTGAAAGGAAAAGGTAGTCTTCCAGAATCCGGATTATTGACTTTCTACTCATGTCAGAAACATTTTTGTTGTTTAATCTCAGTCATGAAAAGTGTGTTCTGGACCAGTCATCATTTTTGACCTTCTGGTAAACTGTATCTGAATGGTATTTATATACTAATGAATGCTTAGCTCTCTGTTTGCCCTGCAATTGTCAATCATGCTATTTTCTGAAGACAGCCTCATAAAACATACTAAGTCTCCAGCAACTTGGTGCTTCGAGTCGTTTCTGGCAACTCTGGAGCTCGAAATGGGGGAAACTCAGATTCTGGCCATCAGTTGGGTGAACAATTCCAAACAACCTTAAGAAAGTCACTTTCTGTTTTCTAAGTAATTCTCTTTTGCTCAGTTTTGTTTTCTGCAGTTTTTCAGAATTCCACGTTTATAAAAAATACCTAAATGACCCTGCCATTCCAAAAGAAGTCTGTGTATTCATTAGCCTTTTTATATACAGGTACATAGAGTAATCCACAAATTATTTTAGCTATCAAGACAGTCTACCCTAAATGCTGATGGCAGAATACTGCTCTGCATCAAGACTGTGGGAGGTAAAGTACAGATTACTTACTATATGGTAAGTACGCTTCATAGAAATCCTGAATTCTAATGTTATAAGCAAACAGCCTAGATCAGGAAACAAAAGTATCCCTTCATATCACTGAAGAAGATAAAATGTATTGGTTCTATTATCCCTCTTATTACATAATATCTGGAAGATCTTCCATGAAAATTGAAATTTGGGACATTTTCTAGTATTGTCCTTAAAATAATTGACTTTTTTGAAATTAAGGAAAAAGTGAAACCATTCAATTTTTTAAAAAAATAATCTAAACAAAAAGAAAATATATTACTTATAATATCACTGAGTAAAATAATTATAATGCATAATATGAGTTTTAAGAGAACTGGCAAGATGAAGCTTTTGTGAATTGTCTTGTTTCTATTTTGTGGTTCTATTTATTGCTATTTTAGTAATATTATTTAAATTAACACTTTGGAAGTTTCTATTCTTTTGCCTTACAGAAGTACACATTAAAAAAACATTTAACAAGAATAACAGAATACTGTTTTTATATTAGGCTTCTGGCTCAGATATAAATCAGATGTAGTGCATTTGTAAGAAACTTTAGAGCCCAGCCCTTTTATCTATTAAAAGAAGCCAACTATCTATGGAAGTCTGAAAATTGATCGGCTAAAGTAGTTTCCTGTTAGTTAAAGATGTTTAATTTTTTATAAGTCCTGAAGCTAGGTCAGACTATCATACAGTGCATCATACCTCATCAGAACCCACACCTAGTTTAGGAGGGAGGGTTAATTCAGTCTTTCCTTATTATAGGGCAAGAACAGATATTTTGCAGAATCTCATCAGGAAAATAATATTTTGTTTAGTTTGACCAGTTTTCATTCTGACATATTGTGAAACCACACTAGCACACAAACGGAAGCTCTGATTAGGAGAGACTTTAAAGGTCACCTTGACAAACTTCCAAAAGATTCCTATGAATGAGCTTAGACATGCTGAGACTGTTTTGCTCTGACAGAGAATAGTTGGTTGATTGTATTCAAAGAAAAACATTTTTTATTTAATTTATCCAATTTAAAAGAGTACATAATTTCCTAGATTTATAGATTCACTTATTCACTTAAATATTTGCTAAGCACCTACCAGAGGTAACATGCCATGCTATTCCAATTTTTGTTAAGAAAGAAGCACAGTAAGTTCACATCATTGACTCTAGGTTCAGATTCTTGATCTGACACACAAGCTGCATGACCAACCTGTGCCTCAGTTTCCTCATGTGTAAAATGTAGGTAATAATGATACAACGATACCTCATTCTATGGACTTCGTTACTTAGCTCAAGCTCTAAAAACAGTTGCCTGGCTCACTTTAAGTGCTGTATAAGTATTTACTGTCATTATGAATAATGTTTTTGCTTTGCTTGTCAACACATTTTATAACTTGTTTGTCAATCTACTTTCACATGTTTATTATTTTGAGCAGCAGCCCTCAACTTTGGGTGATTTGGCCCTCCAGGAAAGACATTTGGCAAAAATGTCTGCACACATTTTTAGTTGTCAAAACTAGACTGTTTCTATGGGCATTTAGTGGGCAGAGGCCAAGGATGCTGCCGAATGTCTGACAATACACAGGAGAGCCTGCACAACAAAGAATTATCCAGCCCAAAATGTCAATAATGCTGAAGCTGAGAAACCCCACTTTAGAGAAAGAACTATGTTGAAAAACTGCAAAGCAAAATTTCTGGTGACAATTCCACGTCATATTTTGCATATGAGCACAAGTCGACCGGGTGATTTGGAGCTTGTGATGATTTTAAAGAAAACTCTCTAAGCTTCAGCCCTCAGGTGGTCTAAGTATAAAGACATCCACATTCCCACCCTCAAACAGGAAATTACTCTAACAAAAGGAATAGAATTTAAAATACCCAAAACATCCTACTGCAACAATGCTAGCAGAATCAGAATACAAAATGGGCTGGTACAGGGCAGTGGCCCAAAGGAGAAAGCACTCTCAGAATGGGGAGATACACACCTTATAGCACCTTGCAAATCGAGACACCAATCCCACAGAGAATAAAATTGGCAGAAGGTGCTTTGTGGAAATTATGGAAGAAAATAAAGCTTCCTTAGCAACACAACAGGTAAAGATTCTGCACTTAACTTTAAGGAGTCACACTAGGAAAAAATAAAATTGCCAGCAAGTAGAAATGAGGGCCTTGACACATGAAACAACATCCCACATGCAGATGAGAGCACCATGTGACGCGCAGAGGGAACTCAGAAAGAGAGAAATCTGGATCAGAACAATAACCATTCTCTCCTTCACTCGGGTCTAGGAGTTATAGTCTGTTTATGTGTTTGTCTTCTTAGTAGGTAGAAGACTCCCTGAGGGCATGTCTTACTTATAACAGCTTTCAATTACTAAGCTTCTATTACATGTTAGGACTCTAAATGCCATCAATTAAAAGATTATGTCCAGCTACTATGAGCTCCCACTACATGTTAATGTTAATACCTATTAAGACACTAACTGTGGGCCTGGTGCTGTTCTCAGTAACTTATACTCCATAATGACTTTTTTCTTTTTGGTTTGGGGCTTTAAAGGTCTCCTTCTGTGTTTTCATCATGAGGCTCTGGGCTGCAAGGAGATCCAGGAGATCCGGG